CAGAACACCTGAGGACAGGTGGACCAGAACACCTGAGGACAGGTGGATCAGAACACCTGAGGTCGGGTGGACCAGAACACCTGTAGAGAAGTGAACCAGAACACCTGAGGTCAGGTGGACTAAAAAACACCTATAGACGGGTGGACCAAAACACCTGAAGACCGGTGGATCAGAACACCTGTGGACAGGTGGACCAGAACACCTGCAGACAGATTGATCAGAACACCGGAGATCAAGGTGGACCAGAACTCTTATGGATAGGTGGATCAGAACACCTGAGGTCAGGTGGACCAGAACACCTGTGGACAGATCCACGAGTCTCAGAGTTAGATTAATCTCTGGATTGGTTTGATCGTTTGTCTCAAGGTCAGTTTCATTAGTTTGTTTTGATCTGTTTGTTCTGAGGTATCTCAGTGACCTTTGTGGGTTTTTTCCTCCAACACAATGATCGTGCCTGTATTTCAGGATAAACTCTGCACATTGTTTGATTCTGTTTATTTATTGGTTTATGAATTTGTTCTTCAGGTTCTCTGTCTTGGACTCTGCAGAACCTGGGTCCTTTTACCATTTTCGTCCCAATCAATCGAGGCTTCAGGGGAGTTTCTGTATGTTTCTGTTGGAACACAAAAACCTCAGATGGATCAGATGAAACACCACAAATCTTCTAATTTTCTTTCATTTGTCAAGGTCAAATCTCTGACGGCAAACTCACTGAAAGCTAAGAACCTGCTGAACCTCCACCTCGTTGCTGGGGAGATCTCGTCTGAAGCGCTGAAGAAATTGGACGTTTTCTACACTCTGGCAGGAAAATCAGCTGAGATCGACACGTCGGTGAGTAACAGAACCCTGAGCGGAACAGCTGAAAGAAGGTGGGTGGTCCAGTTGTAGGAGGATGTTGTGTGAAAAGATCTCTGATTGTTGGACCTCAGTCCTATGGACTAGTCTCAACAAAGTTCATCATTTTAATGTGTGGTTCCAGGGAGCTCAAACTAACATCCGGATTCACGGCAGCAGGAAGAAAGGTAGCATCGTCCAGTCTGACCTGGTAGCGTCCAACGGGATGATCCATCTCATTGATAAGTTGATGGACAGCGTGTCCCCCACGGTGCAGAGCAACGTGGACGTGAGACAATCTAATATTCCTGTTTGTTGTTCCCATCAGGAATGGCCTCTCTGCCTCAAGTTCTGCTTATTTTTATTGTCACTACTTTAACACAGTGTTGTTTATCCTCAGGAGAATCTGATGAAGATCATCGCTGACAACGGAAAGTTCCAGATGTTCAAGTCTTTACTGGAGGTTCTGTTTATTTCATACATTCAGAACATTAAGAAGAACCGTTTGGATAAAATCACCAGGTGTTAAAAGCATGTTAGAGCTCTGTGACCTGATCACATCCAGAGGATGAACCCTTTAGACCATGTTCCTGTCATCCAGAGGATGAACCCTTAGATCATGTTCCTGTCATCCAGAGGATGAACACTTTAGATCATGCTCCTGTTATCCAGAGGATGAACACTTTAGATCATGCTCCTGTCATCCAGAGGATGAACCCTTAGACCATGTTCCTGTCATCCAGAGGATGAACACTTTAGATCATGCTCCTGTTATCCAGAGGATGAACACTTTAGATCATGTTCCTTTCATCCAGAGGATGAACCCTTTAGACCATGTTCCTGTCATCCAGAGGATGAACACTTTAGATCATGCTCCTGTCATCCAGAGGATGAACACTTTAGATCATGTTCCTTTCATCCAGAGGATGAACCCTTTAGACCATGTTCCTGTCATCCAGAGAATGAACACTTTAGACCACGTTCCTGTCATCCAGAGGAGGAACCCTTTAGATCATGTTCCTCTCATCCAGAGGATGAACACTTTAGACCATGTTCCTGTCATCCAGAGGATGGACCCCTTGAGACCACTAAAACCTGACTTCATTGTTGAAGACGGTTGTAGTTCCTGAGATCATGACTTTGGTTTCAGACTATTTCATGGACTTAGACCAGGGCTTGTCTTTGGATTGTAGTGAACATTGTTTTGGACATCTGAAGATCTTGCAGGACAGGTCTTCTGTGGTCCATCTTTTGTCTTCTTGCTTTATCCTAATTGAACTCCCTGGCTGTTTGGTTCTGATTGGAACCCATTGTACTCAGTTTGTTTTAATTCTGAAACTGCCATAGTTTTGGGGAATCTTGCTGTTTTTTGGTTTGGTCCCACTTAGTTTCTGTAGTAAGAGAATGAGGGCTCGGGGGTTCAGTTAAGCTCCTGCAGGACTGTCCCTGTTGGTTTGGTGAGGTTTTTTATTGACTTTAAATGTTTGTGGGCCTCATGCTCTCCAACCAGAAAACACTGACAGCTTCTAACATCCATCCATCCATGTATCCATCCATCCATCCATGCATCCATTATCTTCCGCTTATTCCAAAGTCAGGTCTCGGGGGCAGCAGTTTGAGCAGGGAGGTTAAGACATCTCTTTCCACAACCACCTCTTCCAGCTCTCATGGGTGGATTCCAAGGTGTTCCCAGGCCATCCAAGAGACATAGTCTCTCCAGCATGTCCTGAGTCTTCCCCATGGTCTTCTTCCAGTCGGACATGCCCAGAGCATCTCCATAGAGAGGTGCCCATGAAGCATAGTTACCAGATGCCTGAACCACCTCAACCTGCTCCTCTGGATGTGGAGGAGCAGCGGTTCTACTCTGAGTCTCTCCTGATAACTGAACTTCTCACTCTATCTCTAAGGGAGAGTCCAGCTACCCTGCAGAGGAAACTCATTTCAACCTCCTGTATCCACAATCTCATTCTTTCATTTACTACCCAGAGTTAATGACCATAGGTGAGGGTAGGAATGTCGACCGACTGGTAAACAAAGAGCTTTGCCTTACAGCTCAGCTCCCTCTTCACCAGAACCGACCGTGCAGAGTCTGCAATACTTTAGACACTGCACCAATCCATCTGTCAATCTCACACTCCATTTTTCCCTCATTCGTGAACAAAACCCTGAGATACTTGAACTCCACCACTTGAGGCAGAATCTCACCCTCGACCTGAAGAGAGCAATCTACCTTTTTCCAATTGAGGACTATGGCCTCAGATTTGGAAGTGCTGATTCTCATCCCACCCACTTCACACTTGGCTGTGAACCGTTCCAGTGAGAGCTGAAGATCACGACAGGATGAAGCCAACAGGACCACATCATCTGCAAAGAGCAGAGATGGAATCCTGAGGCCACCGAACCAGAATCCCTCTTCCCCCTGGCTGCATCAAGAAATTATGTCCATAAAAGTTATGAATAGAATCTGTGACAATGGGCAGCCCTGGTGGAGTCCATCTCCCACCCTGAAGGGGTCCGACTTACTACTGGCAATGTGAACCAAACTCTCGCACCACTGGAATAGGGACCGGAAAGCCCGTGACAATCCCATACTCACGGAGCCCCCCCCCCCACAGTGTACCCTGAGGACATGGTCAAATGTCTTCCACAAAACACATGTAGGCTGGATGGGCAAACTCCCATGATCCCTCGAGGGCCCTAGTGAGGGTAAAGAGATGGTCCAGTGTTCCATGACCAGGACAGAACACACACTGTTCTCCTGGATCTGAGGTTCGATGATCGAACTCACTTCTCCAGTACCCCTGAATAGACCTTACCAAGGAGGCTAAGGACAGTGATGCCCTTATAATTTGAGCACATCTTCCAGTCCCCTTTTTTGAAGAGGGGAACCACCACCTCACTTTAGTCCAGTGGTACTGCCCCCAATGTCCACGCAATGTTGCAAAGGAGTGTCAACCAAGACAGCCCCACAACATCCATCTTGTAACAACATAATAAAATTTATAAATATTTAATAAATTGTTATAAATCTTTGATAAAAGCAAGGAAAAAAGCAGTTAAAGGAATAAAAGTCTCAAGTTTATTCCCTTAGGTTTTAAATCCTCTGTCTTTGCAGAAAACAGATTTGGCATCAGTGATGGACCTTCCTGGACCAATGACCGTCTTCGCTCCAACAGTTTCGGCATTTGATGCAATGAAGGAAGGATATCTTCAGTGCCTCAGTAGTGAAGAGGTGAGGGCAAATAAAACTGAAGAATGTTTGTTTTTAAGGTTTGATGGGTTGGAACCATCAGCTAATGTTTTTTCTGAACCTCAGGGTCGCAGCAAACTGTTGGAGTTCCTCAGGAACCACATCGTTCCATCCGTCCAAGTGAGTCCAACTGCATGCAAGTTGTCCTGTTCTTCCTGGAGGTTTCTAAGGTGATCCCAGGCCAGCAAAGGAACAGTCTTTCCAGTGCATCCCAAGTCTTCTCCAGGATCTCCTCCCAGTTGTCTGGAACACCTTCCTGTGGAGGCATCCAGGAGACATCCTTACCAGATGCCTGGACTGGTTCCTCTCCATGTGGAGGAGCAGTGGCAGTTTTTAGCAAAACTTTGACAAATATTGACATTTAGCTACTATTGCTCTAATTTTGGCTTTGGCTATGCTTTTGCTCATTTTTGCGTTTACTGCTGGTTTAGCTTGTTTTAGCTATTAGCTAATGTTGAGCTTGATTCACATTTAGCAACAATTTAGCTAATTTTATCTCTTTGTTACTGCTTTGTTTGTTTTAGTTTTTAGATACTGTTCTGTTAATTTTACCTTTAGCTGTGGTTCAGCTTGTTTGAGATTTTAGCTGTTTTTATCAGTTGAGTGTCTGGATTGTTGTTGAACTTTTGTTCAGCTGATTTGAACCAACAATAATTTCAGAAACACTGTTTTGGGAAAAATTTGTTTGTGTCTTAAAGATGGAGGTTTATAACATTGTGTCCCGCCCCAGTATCGTCACGATGGCCAATCAGGCCCTGACGGTCAACGTGACAGAAAACGTAAGTGTGAACAGTTACACTCGACTGTTTCAGTTAACTGGAACAGAAAAGTGTGTTTGATTTAAATGTTTTGTCTCATTTCTCTGGAGTTTTTAATCATAGTTCTCTGTAGTTATCGTCATTCTCTTTGTTTTTTTAAATTGGATTCCTCTGCTGTTTTTACCGTAGTTCTCTGCTGTTTTTACTGTAGTTCTCTGCAGTTTTATCCTAGTTATTTGCAGTTTTTACTGTAAACTTGGTGAATCTCACTGTGGTTTTTCCCTGGAACTTATCTGGCTGTGGCTGATTCAGGGTCAGATTCTGATCGACGATGTAGCCGTGCTTGAGACCGCCGTGACAGCTAAAAATGGAAATCTGTATGTGATGGATGGAGTTCTGACTCCGTCCTCCATTGAACCTGTCCTGCCTCACAGGTGTGACCTCCCAGAAACTAAGACCACCCAGGTGAGTGTGAGGACAACGTGTCTACAAAGTGTTTTTTTATTGTTCAGACTGTTTGAATCTAACGTTCTACATTGTGTGTTTTGTTTTTGAGGGGGCGTGTGTCAGTTGTGCTAAAGTTAGCCTGTCTCAGTGCTCCTCTGGGGTCTACACAGTAAGACCTTCTTATCTCACTGGATGTTTATGTGGAGGATAGAAGGTGGTTTGATGTAAAACACAATGATCTTTGTTCATCAGGGCACCTACACCTTTGGATGTGCTTACATCATGCCCGTGACTCCATCCGTCAGATTCACTGTCAGAGGTTGCTCTCCGATTTGCAACACAACCGTCATGGTACACAAGCACAGGTTTTGCAACCTTTATTGTAACCAAACCCAGGTAAATTAATCTACCTGTATGTTAAGACTCGGGCATGCTGTAAAGGTTTCTACGGTCCGGACTGCTCTCCCTGTCCAGGTGGATTTCAGGCACCTTGCTCAGGACATGGACAGGTATGCTCCACCGTCAGTACACCTTGCAGAACCTGAGTGTTTGTGGCTGAAAGAAGCTGATGTGTTTTGTTCAGTGTGTGGAAGGGATCAAAGGAAATGGATCCTGTATCTGTGGGGAAAACTTCCGAGGTTCTCGCTGTCAGTACTGTTCCTCGTCCAACAAATATGGTCCGAACTGCGACACAAGTAGGTGGGAATCGAACCGTGGAGCTGAATGGTGATGTAAGATAGCCTGTGTGATCTTTCACCTGTGTATCTCAGCATGCCCCTGTATCCACGGACAGTGCGACAGCCGTCCCGACTCAGATGGTAGATGCAAACCAGACTCCTGTCTCCGGGGTTTCACTGGGCAGTTCTGCGAGCGACGTACGTCTCCCTGCGGCACCCTGGCCCAGTTCTGCCATGCCCATGCTGACTGTGACTTCAGTGATGGATCAGCCAGGTGAGTTTACTAACAAGAAGTTTTACCTCCAAGTACTTACACTCCCTTTACAGGAACCATTTACCTGACACAAATATTTTCCTAACAAAACATTTCCCTGTGGGAGCATTACCTTAACAAACACTTTACCCTCAAGAATCTTTCCCCACAAGAATGTTGCTTCAACACTTTACTTACCCCACAGTGATATTTTGCTAGCTGAACATTTTCCCTAACTGAATTATTTCAATATCTGACCCCCCCCCCCCCCCCCCCCCACACACACACACACACAGGAATCTTTCCCCACTGAAGCCACACAGCAATCTTTCTTCATATGAAACATTGAAACATTTCATCACGCTGGGTTAAGAGAGTTTTAAGGATTCCTTCTGTGGCAACATAACAACCCAAACTGTTACTGAGACTCTCAGTCTGACCCTGGATCCTGACTCGGATACTGACTTAAGATGTTATCATTCATCCTGACTCTGGATCCTGACTTGGATTGCGCCTCTGGATATTGACCCTGGATCCTGATTCTGGATTCTGACCTTGGATTCTGACCTTGGATCCTTACCCCAGATCCAGATCTTGGATTCTGACCTTGGATCCTGACTCTGGATCCTGACCCTAGATTCTGACCATGGATCCTGATTCTGGATCCTGACCTTGGATTCTGATCCTGGATCCTGACTCTGGATCCTGACATTGGAGTCTGACTTTGGGTTCTGACCCTGGATCCTGATTCTGGATCCTGACCTTTGGTTCTAACCTAGGATTCAGACCTTGGATCCTGACCCTAGATTTGGATCCAGAATGTTG